ATTGGGACAAGAACAATTTGGTTTCTAAAAAGAAAAGAAATATTGATTCAGTTTTGTTAGTTTTATTTTTGTTTTTCATTGAAAATTGTTAGTTCTTTTATGTACGAGTTAAAACTGTCTAGAAATTTGATATAATGAATATAGTAGTCAGATATAATGAATTTGTAAAATCATGAGTTACCTACCTTAGATGATTTGAGAGCTGGTTATTGGCAAAGCAGTAATCTTCTTGTTCAAGTCCTCACAATATCATTGGAAGAAGTGTTATTGTATTTCCTGATTTCAAATGTTTTTAAATGTTGTCATTTGTTCAAAAAATGCATTAAATGATTGAATGATATGACAGTTCTTTTTTATTTTATCTGATAATCTTTTTACTTATTTTTAACAAAACATGCATTTAATAAGTCCGGATGGGGAAAACAATCAAGGGGAGTCCAAAAGAATATTTAAATGATATTGCAGCTGAAAGAGGCAGTACTTAAGGCAAGCTCTATAATGTTCAAGGGGTTAAACACCTAGAAAAAGCTTTTGGTTTGCTTTATGGCAGCTTGGTTGTGCGGTTAATATGTTCAACAAGTAAATTAACGATCACAAGCCATGAAGGTTTATACCCTGTTGATGGCAAGCTGTTGTTATCTCTTGAGCAAGAAACTACATGTATTACTCAGTACTGGTTGTTTCCAGGAACAGATTCGAGAAACTGTCTAATCAGCTTACAGCTTCCTCACATGAAAGAATCTAACATCATTGTCGAGATTTGAACCCACAGCTGTGAGATGAAAGTGGTTTGAAGTCAACTGCCTTAACCACTTCACCACAGTATCTGAAGAAGCCACATGTTTCCAGATGAGCCAAAATATTTCAAGTAAATCAAACTTGAGAAAAAAATTTGAAACAAGAGCCATGTTAACATGGCCACCCCCGCCGAATGTGTTTGCTCATTGGAAGAATGCATATGTAGTAGAGCAGAATAATTCAATTTTAAGAGGTCTTTTGGTAATGAAAACTAATGGCTGAAGTGATTACAGATTTGAAACCAATGTGAATACTGATGGCTGAAAATAACAAAGGGCAATAACTGAAAAATAATGCAGGGTAGGTTATCATTTTGTGTGCTGCACCCCTCCTCAGTAAAATTATCCACCTATGAAGTTTCAAGTTGATACCTCAAATACTTTTCTGAGACAAGCTCCAGACAAAATAGTATGAAAAAGAACAAATGGCAATAACTCAAAAATTATATAGGGAAGAGTTATCATTCTTGAGCACAGCGTTCCTCCTCAATAACATCTATCCACCTATGACATTTCATGTAGACATCTCAAACACTTTTGAGTTATGCTCCACTCGGGTGAAAAATTAAGTATGAAAAATAACAAAGGGGAATAACTCAAAAATTATGGAAGTAGAGTTATTATTCTTATGCACTGCACACCTCCTGAGTGAGATCTATGCACCTACCCGCACAGCATTCCTCCTCAATAAGATCTATCCACCTATGACATTTCATGTTTACATCTCAAACACTTTTGAGTTATGCTCCACTCAGGTGAAAAATTAAGTATGAAAAATAACAAAGGGCAATAACTCAAAAATTATGAAAGGTAGTTATCATTCTTGTGCACTGCACACATCCTGAGTAAGATCTTTGTACCTATGAAGTTTCATGTCAATATCTCAAAGGCTTTTTGAGTTATGCTCTGGACAAAAATTAATCTTGAAAAATAACAAAGGGCAATTACTCAAAAATTATGCAGGGTAAAAGTTATCATTCTTGTGCACTGCACTCCTCCTTAATGAGGTCTATCCAGTATCCATCTATGAAGTTTCAAGTTGATACCTCAAATACTTTGTGAGATATGCTCCGGAAAAAAATGTCAGACGAACGGAGGGAGACTTTTTCTATATCCCCCATCGCATTTACGGCGGGGGACAAAAAGTAAAAAGATTCCTGTAATATTTCACATTTTTTGTGGGATTAATGACTAGTTTTTCTGTATTTGTCAAGATATTTCTACTGTGTACCAACTGCAGTAAGGACTATTTTTGCATATTTTGACCTCGTTTTGGTATGTTACGCATCTTATATGTTGGCACTGATAATTTTGCTTTCTTTCACATTGTGAAGCAGGTGCACTTAACACAAACATTCTCTTTCTTGACAGCACAAGGACCCTGTTCATTTATATTTCATGATGTGGCATCAGTTCCATTGAGCCAAATTCATATATGGGAGTGGTTAATGCAGCCTTTGTCCTTATTGCTATACATAGCAATGTACTTCAAAAAAATGTTTACATTGTTACTCTAGTGAAAGTCTACCTTAATGATACAGAAAACTATTTCTGTCATCAGTATTTACAAGGGCATTATATAAAAGGCACATTATTACAGTGTTCCATTTCGACAAGCGTGAATTTTTATTTGGTTCATACCCGCAATGCACCATGGTACAATGAAAACGAGACGGTTTGATGGTGAAAACACAATGGTTTGTTGGTGAAATCGCGATAGTACGATGGAGAAAACACGATATTATCGCATTTTCTCCATCGTACAATTACGTTTTCACCGTCATACCATCGCGTTTTCATCATCGTACTATCTTGTTTTCACCATATTGCCATCATGCTTTCACCATCGCATTTTAACATTGAAAGCGTGATTACACAATTATGAAATCCCAACGGCACAATAGTGAAAACACGATGGTGGAACGTGATGGCACGATGGTGAAAACGTGTTGGTACAATGATGGAAACACAATGGCGTGATGGTACGTTGGTGGAAACATGATGTAATATCGCGTTTTCATCATCATGCTATTGCACCATCGAGATCTAACCATTGCTCCATAGCGTTTTCATCATTGTACCATCATGTTTTCACCATCGTACCATCGCGTTTTCACCATTGTGCATCGCGGTTAGACTAATAAAAAATCATGATTGTCCAAACAGAACACCGTATATTATGCTTATGAAATTATGTAATTGTTTTGTAGAAAAGGCAAGCGGGTAATTTAAAATTTTGTTATAATAGATTTTGAACATGTGCGTTACTGTAACTGAACACTTGAAGAAAATAGCAATTTCATCCAAAATTCAGTGCAAGATCATAATTCTTCAACAGATCAGCATATGACTAGGTCACTGTGACACATAAGGGTGTGTGATATTATGATTTATATAGCTTTTGTAGATACACAAGGTGATGCTACAAATCAAACATCTATGGTTGATGAAGATTTTTAACAAGGGCAACATGTGTCGCAAAAAACACCCATCACAGAGTTGTGAGCATTATAAAAAGGCATATAGGAGATATGCTGCGGGAAATATCCAAAAAATATCTGAATATTTCATCATCTCTAGTGACCTGGACCATGCAAATAATAACCTAAATTACATGTGTCATACTTGTAGTCATTATAGTTATCATTTGTGTTACAATCCATCAATAATTGATATGTACACAAAATTTGACCTCTATGTGACCTTGACTTTGGTAGCAGGACTTGATTATGTGCGCAATTATTCTCACAATGGTGAAAATTTGTGCCAAGTTACATTAACATCCCCCCGATGAATGTAGAAATTTCTCTCCAAACAAGCATTATTTAATGACCTACAAGTGTGACATTACCTTTAACCTAGAGACATAGTTCATACATGTGACACTGTTTTTCATGGTGAAGATTTCTATGAAGTTACATTAGAATCCCACCATGCTTGGAGGAGACAAACTTTCTATATTTTATCATCTTTAGTGACCTTGACCATGCATATATTAACATAAATTACATGTTTCACACAAGTAGTTACGATAATGACCATTTGTGTTTCAATCCCTCAATAAATGATAATTAAATGGTCTGAATACCGACTTTCATCTTAACTTTGATCCCTATGTGTAACCTTGACCGCAGGGACCTAAATTTTGCACTCAACACTGTCTACAATGTTGAACATTTGTGCAAAGTTATATTGAAAACCCTCTATGCATGTAGAAATTTTGCTCCAGACAAGCATTTTTCAATGACCTCTAAGTGTCACCTGACCTTTGACCTTGAGACCTAGTTCATCTGCATGACACTGCTTCTTACAGTGGTGAACATTTGTATGAAGTTTCATTAGAATAACTCCATATGTATAGGAGAAATGCTCTGGACAAAATCTATATTTTATCATTTTTAGTGACCTTTACTATCATATTTAGTGACCTTGACCTTGCATATATTAACCTATATCACATGTTTCACACCAGTTGTCGTGATAATGACCATTTGTGTTTTAATCCCTCAATAAATGATAATTAAATGGTCTAAATACACTTCTGAACTTTGACCTCTATATGTGACCTTGACCCAAAGGACCTTAATTTTGAATGTGACACTCCACCTCACAATGGTGAACATTTGTGCCAAGTTATTTTGAAATCCCTCTGCATGTAGAAGTTTTGCTCCAGACAAGCGTTTATCAATGACCTCTAAGTGTGACCTTGATCCTTTGACCTGGCTTCTCATAATGGTGAACATTTCTATGAAGTTTCATTAAAATTCCTCCATGTGTGTTTGAGATCAGATATGCTCCGGACAAAAACTGGATGCCGTGAAACTATAATACAATCTGTTTTTCAATCGGGGGTAAAAATATTATATTTTAAATGCCTGCTTTATATCTTATGACTTACATTGTGACTAGAACCATTTACATTACTTGTAGACCCCACCTTAGGATAACTCCTGTCAAGTCTGGTGAAAATTCATCATGTTGTTTAAAGAAATGGAGGGCGACGATGAACAACAGACACACTGCCATCACAAAAGCTCACTGGAGTACAAAAAGTAGGTGTCATGTGAGAAGGTTCTGGTGAGCTAAACAGACACATACTGCATCAACAAAGTGTGAGGAAACATTATAAGATAGTCTTGGCTTGAATAAGACTTTAGCTAATAACATCCATAGCCTGTACAATCTTATCGAAAACACATAAAATAGCAGTTTTAATATATTTATTGTGTGTAACTATCAATACAAAGTAAGAAATGAATCTGAAATGTCACCTTGTAAATATTGTAATACACAAGTTAACATACAGCTGTCACCTACCTACCAACCACTCTATAACTATGACTAAAAACTGAAGTTGATAATTAAATTTGTAAGTCACTAATGGCACAAACATCATTTAAAAAGGTGACAGTTATTAATACCCCCTAGAATGCTATCTAAAAGTAAATGGACCGTGCTCATGCCATCATTACAGATTAAGAACTAGTGCCGTCAGAAATGTTTTTCATACTGTTCGCTTCATAATTTACATTTTTACATCCTCTAACTAATAATGAACAGCTTCAAATCAAATTCAGAACAAATCTATTTCATAATTTCAACAAAACGTGCTCCTTAAAACATGTAGTTACAAAGTTGACCGACAGCAAACTTTCACACTCCTGACATTGTTAAATTAAAAGATTTTTAATGTCCACAAATCCCTGAAATTTTTAACCATCCCTGAATCACTTTTAAATTGTCCTGGCTATTTAATTTCCTGCAGTAATACTAATATTTCACCATCGTGAACTAAACAAGACCATTATCGTGTCAATTTTGCTATCTGGCACTCTCCATATCTGTAAAGAACTGATGTTTCAATGCTTCCTCTGCACTTATACGAGTAAAGGGATTCAAGTCCAGTAACCTTGACAACAAATCAAATGCAGAGTCGGGTATTTGTCTCCATGAAGCCTCCGCCTCGGCAGTCATTTTCTTTTTATTAGAAGACTGTTTACTCATTGGTGCAGTTCGTAGTTTCATACACATTGTTCGTATGTCTAAACAAGGCTGTTGTGGGTTACAGATCATGTTCTTACCTAAAATAATCAATAAATCAATTTCCATACATCAATGATGTAAACAGGATGGTTTGTTTTTCTACAATTTTTTAATTTTTTTTATTAGAGTTTTCTAAAGGTTAGATATGTTACTTTAAAATAAATTGTTTCGATTGTCAAATCAAAATAACAAAGGTATAAAAGTTATAGTTATATGGCTACTTTTCAGCTTTTTAGGTAGAGGAAGACCTCAGGCACCCCTCTTTGATTTATCATAGCCATTAGAAGGCACCAGAGTAGAACCACAGACTTTTTGCAAACTAGCTGGATAGCTTCCTCACATGAAACAATCCAAAGAGCCTGACGAAATTCAAACACCCATAGCATTTACTTTCAGAGGCCTATGATTTGAAGTAAGTGACTTTAATTACATGGCCATGGATGACCCTATTTATAACTATCAACAACATAAAAGGCATATGGTATGAAGCGACTTTTAATCACTTATCCTTGGAGTACCCTATTAATAACATTATCAACATGAAACGGTTATTTTATAACATCACTTGATATTGTCTTTTTTGATATAGTGTGACTCTAAAGAAACTCAAAACTTACCACAAGCTTTTGCGGCATTTTTCACTGCCTCACTACCAAATGTGCTAATTATTTGAGCAAGTGCTGTGAGGTCATCATTGGCACGGAAAAACGGGTACCGACCACTCAATAACGACAGGAATATCACCCCAGCTGACCATATATCCACAGCTGTTTGAAAAAATAGGGAAAAAAAATTACATCAAATCTAGCACTTTATTCTGAAACACTTTACACATCTATATACTTATTTATTACCCTTCCAGATTTTTTGCGCCTTTTTGATTGGATATTGATCACCCGAAAGATATTGATAATTTGATATAACCGAGCCAGACGGGTAATATACACATTAAATTTCCCCGTTGGGTATTTTCTTGTTTTGGGCCTATAATTGTCCAAAGACAACTTCAAGCATTTGTTAAAGATCATTTTTATATACAGAAAAAAAAATATTTAACTTGACAAATTTATAGCCATTTCTCTATGGTGAAAGTAATTAGATCTATGTTTCCTACATTGAACAAAGGTGATAAGTGTTTTTTTTAAAAACATTTCTAAAGCTATCTGCTCTCTAATGCCTTTTCAAATGACTAACAACATTCAGGAAACATTCTTCAAATATCAAGCAACACTTGTACAAGATAACTCTAAAGCACTATTCCACAACATAAATCCTGTCTAAATCTGACAGAAAGCTTAACATAACCAAATTTGCAGAATCCTAATTTAACCCTTCACTGGTGGAATTTTGGAATGAATTTGCCCTATTTTCAATTTAGAACAGTTCATTTGCAGTTTAAAGAATTTCAATATCAAAATACAAACATTGAGCTACTAACAGTATTGAGCCTGGTCAGACTGCATGGAAGTGCAGACTGACCTGGCTCTATACTGGTGGCAAAGGCTTATCCAATTACCCTTCTAACAGGTCAGGGGTTAAAGGCTGAATCAACTATATAATGTATATAAGTTCTCAATAAAAAGGTAACTTTTCAAAGTATCATAGAGATATTAACATGAAGGACATATACATGAAGGACATATACATAAAGGATATCTATGTGAAGGATATATACTTGAAGGACATATACATGAAGGATATTTATGTGAAGGATATATACTTGAAGGACATACAGTACAGCTCGCGCGGAATGTACATTTTTTGTGCTTCCTCCGCAATCGACGTTTAAGCAAACTCCTTAATCCACCGCGTTTTTCTGAGCGTAATCGCGGAGAAATAACCTGGACCACAATCGCGGAGTTTTAGAGAGTTTAAAGGTATTATCGCGGAGATTCTCCAAGAAAATCACGATTTATTAGTTGATATTCTATTTTAAAATTATCCCTTTTCATTAAAGTAATTTTCCTTTTTCACTAAAGAAACTACATTTGTAATTATCTTAATTGTTATTTATTTTTGTTTTGAAATTTGTAGGTCCACTTGATTAATCGATCATAGTATTTCTTGTGAACAATCTTCTTGAAACAACGTACCGCTGAATCATGTCTACATCGTATTTTGTTTTTATACTTTATTTGGCATTTTTGTTGCTGTTTTTAGGACAAGGATACTGTAGGTGTATATAAGTTTTTTTATGTTTTGAAGCGCATTGGAAATGTTGGCATATGTTGGAAATAGGCCATGGAGCTAGATATACATGTACTGTAGATATATATCCGTTATTTCAATCTCCGGTAAATGCAGAGACCTTACAGATAGCTCTGTGGTAAATATGTCAACATGAAAAACTATAACATCCCTATTTATATTTTGTAAAGAAATAAGATCAACAGTTTTGAAAAATTGACGTGTACATGTAATACTACACCCATATTGTTTTATATTTTACCTGCATGTTTTTTAAAATAAGTCGGTCTCCATGCTTTGCTCATGACTCCACATATTTAATTTGGTCAACAACACAAATTATAAAGTTTTTTTTTTTATGATTTTAAAGTTAATAAGACATTGGTTACCTGTTTATATACATGTACAGTTCTTGACCTACACTGTATACGTTTCCCAACGCGTACACGATGTCTATTTCAAATGTCCACAAATTTGTACAACAAAACTAGTACGTCCTCACTGATAATTTTATGTGTCAACAGCAAAAATTATAATGTCTTCACCTTTTACAATTCTCTATAATAATTTACGATAATATATATCTGTGTTTTATACCGAGTTTCTCTTCTCAATATAAATGTATACACACTGGTGAAAAACTATACCCACTTCATTTTCAATAAATAAGATTGAACGTTTTTTTTTTCTCATTCTGTGTATAATGATATTGGTTTCAAAATACTTTTTAATTTTATAAATCATTTATAATCATTAACGTTTTTTTTTTCCAGCAAGATGACCATGCATGGAAGATTTCAAGAGTTTCCAGAGACGATGTGCCGTATCTAAATAACTTCTTACTTGAACGTATAACTAATACTAATAATAATATTTGTTCTACAAAGGTTGACAAATAAAAGAAGTGAACAAAGAATATTATGATATTATACTGTGTATCATTGTTCTTTGCCTTCCCCCTCCCCTTTTTTAAGCCGGTAAACATACATGTACATGGGACGCTTTACAGAAGGTGGGTATGTAATCACTTACGGAGACACTAAGAACTACAATGTATTCAACAGTAAGTCTCCTCATGGTAGAGGAACATATTTATTCAATATTTGCATAGATGATATATTTGGTAAGTGACAAATACTTGGAACATTTTTTTTTGAGTATGTTGTTTGACGTCAACGCCAATGACTGAGCGCCGTTTGCACATACTTATCTTTTTGCTCAGATGTGCACATGCTTGTCAAAAGTTGTTTGTTATAATTATTTTTTTAATGAAGATACATTGTGCCTTTTGATAAGGACCATCCCACAAATCCTAAGTTTTATCATTCAGAAAGTCTGTCTTGACGTCTTCAAAGCTTACAGTACATATCTTCTGAAGATCGACGCAGCCTTAATCCGTGAAATTTCTCCACCGAACTTCATATAATATGTAGATAATCTCAATCCAAAAGTACAAGATTAAGAAAAAGAAAAGAAACGAGAAGAGAATGTGAAGTTGAACTCTTAAGGAGAATACAACTCGCTTCTTTTTCTGAATTATTAAAACTGCTACGGTCCTGAAATGAAAACAAATACATGTATATAAAATTATTATTATTACAAACATAAAACAGTGTACAATCTGTTTTCAAAGATGACTCGTTAGAAATAAAATGATGGGAAGAGACGATGGATCTAAAGATAAACATGTATATAAATGTATTGAATTTGATGATACACAAAAACAAGTAGGTCTAACATTAAAAACCGTACACAGTTACTACAAGAACAACAACAACAATCACTTTTACAAAAGTTTAGATATATTTATAACATGAATTGTTTGATATAAATTCGTTGAAAGACAACGCATTATAGGTGTCTCATCAAGTTAAATAATAAACATATGCATACGATATAATATACGCTCATCTCTATTATTATGTAATAGGTATAAATATAAACACGTGTGCAATGTTCCGGAATACCGGCCAGGTAACAGATAATATCTTTGCTGAAATCGAAAGTAGATCTACAACATACATTTACAAGAAACAATTTCTTTAATTTTGATCATTTTTATGAATTTTATTTGCACCAATTGAAAGAAAAGTTACGGAGAATCGCGGAGGACTGAAATACACCGTTTTTTAAGTAAAATACTGCCGCTTTCAGCGAATTTCTGTCTCCGCGACACCTCCGAAAATTGCGGAGTTTTAGGGAGTTTCTCGGCGATTTTTCTCCAAGGGAAAAGGAAAAAAGTACATTCCGCGCGAGCTGTACTGTATACATGAAGGATATTTATGTGAAGGATATATACACGAAGGACATATACGTGAAGGATATATACATGAAGGACGTATACATGAATGATATATACGTGAAGGATATCTACATGATTGACATACCTGTTGACTGTTCGGGACATTTTATCAGCACTTCTGGTGACCTAAATCCAGGTGTTCCAGCTCTAGGTGCATTCTGATTACTCCTAAAATGATGTAGATTATCAATTTCAATATTAATTCAGATGGTTATTACTGTTTTACTTTGTACAATTTATTGGGATTTTTAAGGTTTTTTGTTTTGTTTTTTGGTGTGTATCAGGTGGTAACTGCCTATGACAGGCAGATTTTATAAAAAAAAGTTTTTACTTTCAGAAAAAAGTAATATTGACAAGAAATGATTATGGTCTTGTCAGGTAAATGAAAAGTCTACAAAGATAATGTTTAGACAAAATTAATCATTCAAAAAACAATGGCTGGTTACAACTTAAAATGTTAGTGGAAGACAAATAAGCTTGAATTTTTTGTCTTTTGTTGGGTTTTACATCACACCAACACAATATATTCTAAAAAATCTTTACTTAGCTTATATTGGTTGTTTTTAAAAAAAAACATTCCTTTAAATATTACAACTGACTGGATAATGTAAATATGATATCACTAGGTACATAAATCATGTATACAACTACGTTATCGGAAGATAACAAAGGGAAGCTAAATCCAAATGAAAATCATAACTTTCCCTTAGAAACGGCTAATCACAAGAACGGGGTTATCACAAGGAAAATTTATATATAATTGAATCTCAATTCCAATTTGAACAGCTAAGCTCTCTGCTTTTTCCACTTTTACAGATCTTCATGATTAACATACCTAGCTGAACATAAGGAACATATTTGTGGTTTTCCGTAGCACTGACAGGCTGTGGGCTGGTAACGATGACTCGACGATTTACGCTGTGACAATATATCATCTTCCTTATCTTTGGCCAACAGCGCCCTCTTTGCTAGTAACATCCTCCGCGGAGATTTCACACGCCGGGCGAACAGGGAGTTACTGACAGGAGGAGTGTATTGACGGGTTTTAGAGTCGGAGCTTGGTGTTTCTTTGGCAACTTTAAAGTTATTTTGGCTCTCCGGTGTACCAGCGTTGTTGACTTCGACCTTGGAAAAGATACAAATTCATGAAACGTTTTGTGTTCCTGCAAAATGTTTGTGTTACTAGGCATCAAGAACTTGCAGGGCCCTCTCTATATTTAGGGGAAACAGTGCCTTTAATCATAGCACGGGAATTTTTCCCTTTCTGACAACTTTTGCTGCACATACAAAAAATTGTGATAATACTCCTGTTGTTCAACATTAATTTTTTTCACAAAAAGCAACTTTTAATAGGATATCATTAAAGAGCTACTACTTTTGGAAGATATAGGTCAGTAAAATTTTTATTTGTTTTTGTTTTCGATGGGAAATTGTTTAATCATAATAGGCCAGTCATAATAGAAATTATAGTAAAACTAATTCCTTCAGAAATGTTTTCACGATTAAATAAAAGATAAACATTATCTACATTTTGAGAAAAAAGTCCTCAAAAAATCTCCTTGCAGAATCCTGAAAAATCGATCATAAAGATTTAGTAAAAATCAATATTTAAATGTGTCTCTTAAATTACACCATACTTTATTTTTATACACGTTCGGTGACGTCACGTTTATTATATTTGCGTCGAAAGATCTGAAGTTACTTCAATTCCAGCATTCCTAGTGCAAAGGTGAGTAATTTTAGTCATTCTTATATTCTTCTGTATAATTTTTAGGGAAAAATATGTCAGTAGATAGATTTAATTGACCACCAATCAATCGATTACGCAGATGACAAAATGTGTCATATAATTTCGCGATTTTAAACACAATTTTGAATAAAGTAATCATTAAAAGTGAGTTTATCTTTTACTCACTGTTCTACATTGTTTTCTTTTGTACAATTATCTAAAATGACACAGAATTGACCTCACATCTTACTGAGTATTTAAAAAATGTGTATGCACAAGTAATGTAAATTGTTCTTCTCTACGGAAGCGTGTTGTGACCAAAATCACGAAAATCTTGGGATATTTTTCAAAATGTGAATTTTGACTTATTTCAAAGAGTTGGTATGTTTTATGAATTGTGGAAATCATAATTAAATCAGATAATATGTTAACTTGATGTAAACAAACGTATTTTGTAATACATAATGCATTTCTAAGTGAAATGATAATATTCCAGCATGTTATATGAAAAATAGACAGCGTATCCAATAGGGTGTAATCAAGCTAAAACTATTACCTATTAATGAGGAAGCTGTTACTGAAACTTTATTCATTACTTTTACTTCTTAACAGAAGACAGGGCTGAAAATTAGCGGTCGCCCAGTCGCCCACGGCGACTTAATTTGTAATTGGGCCACCAAAAATTTCAAAATAGTCGTCCAGTCGGCGACTATAAAAATCGGCCGTAGATTAAATTAATATCCGCCATTAAATCAACTCATGTGAAAAATCAAAGGAGCAAATTGGCTCCAAAATTATTAAATTGGCTCAAGAAAATCACGATTGGCAGTATTACTTTTGGAATCTCCAGTCTAAATTTAGCATTTGCTATTTTAAGAATGGAAAAGTACACATTTGGTTTTCCATTTTCAATTTCCGCTTTACTGCTTCTTATCTCAAAACACAGCGACACAGTCTACTTCTTGTGGGTCATTGACTGGTTTATATTTTTATCTCCCCTTCTGTATTAAATATCGATATGAAAAGTAACACAGTCTAATACACTGGCCCTCACCGTTGATTTAAGTTTTGTAACCCCTGAAGCTCTTGCAGAAGTATTCATTTATAAATGGCTTATGACTGTGAAATATTAAAGAAAGATTCAGTTAAGTAACATACAAACAGAAAATGCCTTCAGATAACTTATACTGATTCCTATACTCTTATAATGACAGTAGTACATGTGATTTTATTCCTTAATTATCTTTAGTTTAGAATTTTCAATATTATTTTCTTCACTCTTCTTACTTTCAAACTTGTTTCTTCTGTATTATTTCAGATACAGATAGTCTTCAAGCCAAATCTTTGTCATTAACCAAGCAAGGTGAAGCAGCACATTGGAATGTGTTTCTGCTGTTACTGTCATGCCACTGACTTAACCAGGCAAATGTCATAGCTACTGAGCGGGAAGCTTTTATAATTATTGACTGTAAATTTTATAAGTTTGATGTGTTAATGTGATAAAAAATGTAGGAACCAAAATAAAAAAGTGGACAATATAGTTAATGTTTTTCTAAATACCTCATGCCGTACCATTCTGCCTTATTTGAAAATAAAATACAGGCACGCAATTTTCGTTGCCAAAAAATTGGCTAAAAAAAAATTTGCCAGTGCTAGTCCCTTTCTGTTCATAATTTGTTGGTCCACTAATATATTTACTGGGCCACCAAAATTTTACAGTCAGTGGCCCAGGTGGCCACCAAGCTTAAATGGTTAGTTTTTATCCCTGGAAGACATGGAATTAAAACCCAAATTATTATGCCAATTATTTGATTCTTTTGTAGGTTCAATCATATCATATGTATCTGAGAGTATGGGGTCATAGCAAATCAAAAGATAATTGAGCGTATTCACTTTAAGTATTGTAAAAGAATTTTAAATGTTAGAGCCAATACAAGCAATGTTCGTATATACGGCAAACTCGGTCATTACCCATTGTATATAATTCGATACGTAAGAATAATTTAGTTTTGGTGCAAATTGATAAATACTGACAATATAATTTCACGGAAAACATATGAATTAAGTTTATCTGATTGTTATAAACTTAAGGTAAAAAACTGGGTATCAAATGTTAAAGAAATGCTAGATATATATGGTTTATCCGAATACTTTTTTGAAAATAATATCGTAGATAGTAAATAAAAATAAAAAAGTAAATAAAAAAAATTGTAAAGAATTATATTCATACGAAAACTATCTTAACATATTACCAAAGGATCTTAGATTTTACATCACAAGAATTAGAATGTCTGCACATACACTAAGAGTACAAACGGGTAGGTAGGGTCAAAATAGAATCCCAAGGAGTGAAAGATATTGTTTATGTTGTAATACTATGGATTTAAGAAGCGCTGAAGAGCTATAGGTTAAGTAATAGATATACCATTGCTGCGTTGACGATTTCTGGGTTTGCGTAAATTATACCATAATCACGTGACCTTTCTTATGCCTTAACCTCACGAGACGAAGTCATGCAACTTCGTCTCGTGAGGTTAAGGCATAAGAAAGGTCACGTGATTATGGTATAATTTACGCAAACCCAGAAATCGTCAACGCAGCAATGGTATATCTATTACTTATTCTATCATTCTAGACAATTTGGATAAGTCTAATAATCTAATGTCAAAATGCAATAGATTTCACTTATCAAAATGGTTTTAAAACACAAAATTTACTTGAATACTAAGATGACATATTCAAAGAGAAAATTAAAATGAGGTGTTAACAGACCAGACTTCAAAATTGCATTTGATATAGATTTTAATCATATCTTTTCCGATCCTGAACCATTTTATTCTTATTATAACATATTCAATTTGCTTCAACTGTTTTCTTTTAAATGTTGTGTTGCTCACAATACCAGTGCCAGTTGTATGTATATTTTAAGTAATGTTTTCCATTTTGTTGTCAGCATTTATAGAACAGTTGTTGTATTATTAGTTAGAAGATGGATAGACACGTGACTTCTACACAAGGGGTATTGAAATGTGAGAGAAAAATGGCTTTTTACGTAGACATATCTTATTGAATGAATGAAAACAAAACAATTGGGTGTCAACAGAACTTGATATATCAACACACATTTACATCATTGTTTTACAGCATGATTATAATAAATGCACATACAAAAGAGTTTGCTCATACCAACATTTTCTCAGGTGTTTCCCTACTATATCATTTCAATATCTTTTTGATAATGTTTTATGGACTTTATATATCTTATTTTCAGAGGAAGGGCTAAACATAGTATAGAATGGTTGATTGCAGAAGACAATATTTAGCGAGAGTCCAGCCTTTTATATTTTGGCGAACATAATTGGATGTGGCAAGAGCTTTCCATATTTCCAAGTTAGGAGAGGCTAAATGGGTTCTGTTTGAAAAGAACCAGCATTTTTGAAAAGCAATTAACAGGTAAATCAAAGAAAACCCCTCTATAATTTTAATACACAGTTGGTGTACCAGATTCAATTTTGTGTGCTACTGCATATATAACTTTTCTAAAGGAAATTCACATTTGTAAAAGTTAAATGTTTTTTTTTTAAAAGTGTTTTATTTTTAATGTCCAAAACTGCAGTTTTCTTACATTCTCGGAATTACTTAGATTAGAGATTTGTTTGTTGGTTTTTATTTCACATCAACACTTTACAGGTCATATAATAACTTTCAAGCTTTACTGGTGAAGGAAAAAGTGTGACATAGGTATTATTTTTAGCGCGTAGAACCACCAATATTCTATAAGCTAGTTTGGGATAGCTTTGTCAGATAATAGATTCCAAAACCCAGACAGGACTCGAACCTACATCGTTAACACCGTAAGTAGCAAGTGTTTTGAAGTCAGTGACCTTTAACACTCGACCAAAACTTCCAATTTAGTTATCTGTATGAAAGTATAGGTGCCGTTTTGTTCAGTATTTCCTACTTATGTGGCACATTATAATGTTTCACAGTCAGGGCTACTTTCAGCCGATAGGCAATTTACACGCTTTAAATTTGTTATAACAATATAACATGAAACATATTTTCTAAAGAAGAAAGCCGAGGCACATTTTTGCTGAGGCTAAACGTGCCGTGCCTCATTAATGTATGAATTATTTGTAGATAATGCAATATAAAAATATAAATCTAAAAGCACAATCATATCTTGCTTTTCATAGTACCTACATTTTCAGTTTGACATAAAATTGTTTTATTTTAAAAGCAGAATGCAAAGTTCGCATTTTTATATTTCATATATTATGTTGTTACAATTTTACAGATGCGAAACAATGTGTCTCTGTGAAAAGGGCAGGCTAAAGGTTTCAACAGCACCGGCCGAAAAAGTGGAGATATAATTTCAGCATTGAACAAGGGCAGGGCAATATATATATATACATGTGTAGCGTTGTCAGACTATATGGATAGTCGGGCCTCGGTGACAAAAATGATGAAATAACATTGTGTTTTTTCAGTGTCTGAACATTCAGAAGATTCATTTTATTTTAAAATGTCTTTTTACAATATTTTTTCTTTACAAAACTTCCATGGTAAAGTAAGTGCAATTTAGCATTGGTAAGATATTTACTTGAAGGATTGATTTTCAGAACAGAAATGCAAATACAATGTAAATAAATAATAATTATTTGTGTAAAATATAATGCAATTTTGAATTATAATATGAGTTTAGATAGATTCATACAACTTTAATCTTGGAAGAGCTAATTTTTAAGAATATGTAATGGAATCTGACTTAAAGTAAAAAAAATATTTATCATTAGCGGGTGGGGTAATGTTTTATACCAGTCTAAATGATGATGTATAGATTATGCAGTGTTGCGACTTTTTGAATGTAATCAACATTGGTTGAAGTGTTTTGGATTAAATAAAGCATGTTTGTGTATTAATGTGTTACTTTGTTAATGACCATATTTGCGTAGAACATCTGGGTTATTTAATTTCACAGATTTTTCTAATTGAAAACACATAATTTCAAAACATGACATTTTTAGCATTTTGTACTTCGAATTTTTTTGAGGACTTTTTTCCTGTAGCAACACATATATAGTAGATAATAAATATGCAAATATCTTTTCTGAAGGAATTTGTTTGAGGTTGGGTCTTATTTTTGGCTAAAATGCCTAGCCTATAAGACATAATGGTAGAAAAAGGAATTGGACAGTATTTAATAAACATTATGTTAGTTTCTTCAAGGAATCTTTTCCGAACTGTAAGATGAATGGCTGAGAGTTCTATAGTCCATTTATCAATAGGAAACGAGGCTATCTTTTAAACTTGCACACTTTATTCAGCACATGATAAACTACTGACATTCAGTACAAATGCTGTAATTGCTGAACCATTATTGTTTTAACACAACTTCTACCCCTTGAACATACCTGTGTAAGAATACCTTTCCTGGCAGATGTGGAGACTGGTGTAGATGTACCGGTCCTGGCAGCTGTGTTTTCTGTGGCTTTACATACTGTAGCCTTGTGTGCCAAGCCAAAATCTACTAGTGCATATCTAAAAATACATAATATTTCTATATAAGTTTCATTGTGAACGAGCTACAACAAAGGGTCATTATTCAAAAATTGTCAGATTACCCAGGACAAATAAATATTTTGATTTGCAGTCTGCATAATAAAATTTTAAGATCATAGGCCATTTGGGCCTTCAACCTAGGCAAAAGTTAAGGCCCTGAAAGATCATAACAGGCCCAAAACATTTACTGTGCAAAATACAGACAACCATTTATTTTATGTTTTATTCACAACAAGACTCAATTTAGGATCTACTTAACTATAGAAAATTAATCAGACACTTTCTAAATATGAATTTCTTTTTTTTATTGTCTTATAATCCAAACTCCTCAGGATTTAAACACGCATCAGTCAAAGGCAAGTGCTTTGAAATCAACGACCTTAACCAATCAGTCACAGGCACTCCCTCTTTTACTGCCAGACTGGTTCCTATTTTTTTTTGCATAACTTAATACAAATATAATGAATATTCATTTAATTTTTTTTCATTATAACACAAAATGGAACAGAAAATTTCCAGCTTACCTTTTAGTTTTTCTGTCACAAAGAAAATTGCTTGGTTTAACATCTCGGTGAATAATATCAAACATGTGGACACGACGGAGGGCAATCAGTAAATTCTTAATATAGTCGTGAACTTCCTGTAAACTCATATGCAGAATATAGTCCTGTAAAAACAACAACAATAATTTGTGACTATTCATGACATTAGTTTATCATTGTGTTTATTCATATATGTCTAACAATTAATGTAGGAAGTATATGACAAGAAACAGATCAACCGTGCTTTTCTTTCTACAAGGTTTTCTAAAATATTCATCATTTTAACAGCACTTTTAAGACATTTTTTATATGACACACTTATTACAATTCATATATTCATCAATAAAGCAGGCAGCTGGGCAGTTAAACAGTACTTCTAAGATCTATGGGGGAAAATGATGAGTAAATAAAATGTTTACATTATTTGACTTTCTTTTCCTCTAAGATCAGAAAAGGCCAATTTTGAATTAAAACATATTTCTATTAGCTACATTACAAACTTTTCTTTCCTGTTATGTTTTGATTTCAGCAAAGTTAACCATACACAAACACTAATTACAGCAATTCTGTCATGTGTCTATCCTATAACTGGACCATTTATTGATTAAGTTCAGTATTTGATAAAATATTCATATTATACAATATTATTTGCAGACCTATGCTACCAGGAAGATGGCCATTTTATCACTATATTGTAAATTGCTCAAATTGTAGGCCGAGCTAAAACCCCAAACTATCAATATACATTTGTGTTCAAAATCTTAATTCAAAGCAAGGCAAGAGCATTATATAAACAAGGGTGCCATAGTCACAAAATACGCCCGTTTACGAAACCTTTAGATTGAGATGGGGGCATTATGGATAAGTGTTATCTAGCAAGCAAGTTTTTATCCTTGGCACTGTGTTGTTAAATGAACCTTAAAACAAATCAGTAGGGAAGATACGCACAGGATGTGTGACCTTGACCTTGGTCGCAGGGACCTGAATAATGCACGGCACTCAGCCTCACAATGATGAACATTTGTGCCAAATTATATTGAAATCTCTATGCATGTAGAAGTTTTGCTCCATACAAGCGTTTTGCTATGAGCTCTAACTGTGACCTTCACCTTTGACCTAGAGACTTGGTTCATGTGCAGGGCACTCATCTCATGGTGGTGAACAATTCTATAAAGTAACATTAAAATTCCTCCATGCATGTAGAAAATATGCTCCGGACAACATCTGGATATTTAATCATCTCCAGTGACCTTGACCTTGCAAATATTAACCTAAATTAAATGTGTCACACCTGTAGTCATGATAGTTACCATTTGTGCTACAATCCATCAATAAATGATGACTAAATGGTCCCTATACACATCTTCAAATTTTTATCTAAACTTTGACCTCTATGTGTGGCCTTGACCTTGACTGCAGGGACCTGAATTTTGTGCGCGACACTCGGCCTCACAATGGTGAACATTTGTGCCAAGTTATATTGAAATCCCTCTATGCATGTGGAAGTTTTGCTCCGGACAAGCATTTTTCAATGAGCTCTAAGTGTGACCTTGACCTTTGACCTAGAGACCCAGTTCATGTGCGTGACATGGCTTCTCATAATGGTGAACATTTCTATGAAATTTCATTAAAATCCCTCCATGCGTGTAGGAGATATGCTCCGGACAAAATCTGGTTATTTCATCATCTTTAGTGACCTTGACCTTGTATATATTGACCTAAATTATATGTATCACAGCCATAGTCTTGATAATGACCATTTGTGTTACAATCCCTCAATAAATGATGACTAAATGGTCCATATACACATCACCATATTTTTATCTGAACTTTGACCTCTATGTGTGACCTTGACATTGGCCGAAAGGACCTGAATCTTGCGCGCGACACTCCGCCTCACAATGGTGAACATTTGTGTCAAGTAATATTGAAATCCCTCTATACATGTGGAAGTTTTACTCCGGACAAGCATTTTTCAATGAGCTCTAAGTGTGACCTTGACCTTTGACCTAGAGACCTGGTTCATGTGCGCGACACTGCTCCTCATAGTGGTGAACATTTCTATAAAGTTTCATTAAAATCCCTCCATACGTGTAGGAGATATGCTCCGGACAAAATCTGGATATTTCATCATCTTTAGTGACCTTGACCTTGTATATATTGACCTAAATTATATGTATCACAGCCATAGTCTTGAAAATGACCATTTGTGTTACAATCCCTCAATAAATGATGACTAAATGGTCCATACACACATCTTCATATTTTTATCTGAACTTTGACCTCTATGTGTGACCTTGACCTTGGCCGCAAGGACCTGAATCTTGCGCGCGACACTCCGCCTCACAATGGTGAACATTTGTGCCAAGTAATATTGAAATCCCTCCATACATGTGGAAGTTTTGCTCTGGACAAGCATTTTTCAATGAGCTCTAAGTGTGACCTTGACCTTTGACCTAAGGACCTGGTTCATGTGCGCGACACTGCTCCTCATAGTGGTGAACATTTCTATGAAGTTTCATTAAAATCCCTCCATACATGTAGGAGATATGCTCCGGACAAAATTGGACGCCGCCCGCCTGCCCGCCAGGGGCGTTCCCAGAATACGTCCCGTTTTTCAAACGGGCGTATAATTATGCATTTAAACTTTTGAAACATGACTTTTAAGATATTTGAACTATCAATGTACTATACTAAAATCTAAATTATGCTTTTGAATTCTTGAAAATTTCATCACTATGCACAACTTTCAAATACTGCACTCTTATGTTTACATGTACCTACGCTCACATTTGTTTTGGGCCGTTTCTGGCCCAGTGGTTAAGGTTGTTGACTTTCAACCACTTGCTCACGGCTGTAGGTTTGAGCTGCCCAGGTGTCTTCAGATTCTTTCGGGAACGCTTTCCAGCTAGCTAACAAAACGTTTGTGGTTCTACTTGGGGCTGCCATTGATGGACAATTTTGTATCGATATATCGAGAGACAAATATCGACTTTAACAGTAGATGCAATGAAAAACATTTAAATACGTGTTTTAAATAAGGATCATGGTGTTACGCATGCTTGTATTAGACATAACAAATACTACAAACTAACAAAAGTTTGTTTTTTTCTGTAATTTTTGTCACTGACATTTGAAAACAGAGTTTGAAGTTCAAGTTAGCCAAGAAAACTGGAAAAAAGTGACTTCTCTTATTATGCAAAATAGAGAGGTATATTCACTAACAGAAATAAACAAATTTTAGCTTGTATCTATATTTGAAAGTCTGTATCGATATTGTATCAGACGATGAATATTGATAATATATCAATATCGCGATATTCAATGACAGCTCTAGTTCTACTCAGGTGCTCATTTGTACCTGAAATAACCCAGAGGGGCACCGGAGGTCCTCCTTTGCCAGTAAAGCTGGAAAATCGCCATAACACCTATACTGTGTTGGTGTGATGATAAAACAAAAAATTTTTTTATTTAAAAATGGTGACCTTTTTAACATTTACTTTTATAAACTAAAAAGTTATTAAAATACTGTACCTGAAATTTTTCATGAGGAAAGTACTGCATCACTATGACAACATGGTCTCTGTTTCTTATACACAACTCCACACCCATTACATTATCACAACCTCTATAATATAAAATATGTCATTTACAACAATGTCTTTTTCTCTTGTATCTATCTTCAAACAATCTCTTTTATTGTTCTATGTTTATAGTTTACTCTTCATCTCTTTATGCAATTTACCAAAGAATACTGACGGTACCTCCTCCTAGGTGGCATCACCCCCCACACACACACATCCCCACAAAATAATGATATTTCATCAAAATACACTACAATACTCATTAAAGAACCAATGAAAATAATGTTATCATTATAATTACTATGGGTAAATTACGATCTTCCATCTGAAGTATTCAAATTCAGAATAATTAAATTTCATCATTAATTTAACATCAGACAAATCTTTATATCAGCCTTAAATATTATAGAATTAGAGATGATAAAACTAAAGTTACCCAATCTCAAGTAGGCAACGTAGTTCTCCTTCTATCCTGGATGGATGACTTGTTGGTATAATGTGCTTCAATGCAAACAGTTGATCCAGTTCCGGGTAGTGCTTCAACCGTGCTAGAAACACTGAACTAAATGTACCTGTAAAATAATTCCAGATAATACAAATTTATCAATATAATTGAGTCGCATCATGACAAAACCAACATATTGCGTTTGCGACCAGCATGGATCCAGACCAGCCGGTGCATCCGCTCAGTCTGATCAGGATCCATGCTGTTCGCTATTAGTTTCTCTACTTGTTATAGGGTTTGTAAGCAAACAGCATGTAGGGTTTGTAAGCAAACAGCATGGATCCCGATCAGACTGCATGGATGCGCAGGCTGGTCTAGATCTATGCTGGTCGCAAATGCACTATGTTGGTTTTGTCATGGCGCGGCTCATATATATTTTCATGAGCTTCAAGACTTTTTTGTTAAAGTTTAGGTAACTCAGTGCCACCTTTTCTTTGATGACTGTCAGCATCATTTTAAATCAAGCAAATCACAAGGCAGACCTATATCCTAATAGTATAAAATTGTTATTTCCCTGAATTCAAAATAACCAGTTCTTCAGAGGTAATTTTTAAATTCAAAACATGGATAAATTTTATACAAAATGATTTTATTCACATAACAAAATGGAAAGCGAACTGCAATAATACAGTAAAATATATAAGGCAAATTGTTTTTCTCTGGCTTGTTGTTAAAATAATTGTTTATAGTTAAATTTTAAGCATAAGAAAGGTATATACATAAAACATTTGGAAGTCTAAATTTCTGATATTCACAAAGAAGACTTATACCTTCACCAATTTTATCAATGACTTCGAAATGTTGTTCAACTTCTGGCACAAACTCATACAAACAGTCTATTTCCTCTTGTACATCCACTGCAAAACAAATATACAAATAAATAACTGAAAATGTTATACAACACATATCTATAATCATGAACTGTTAATCCACATTCTGAGAATATGTAAGGACATGCTGAGTGCCGCCTTTCCATATGTAACTGCCAATTTCTCCAATACATGTAACTTACAACTTTGGTTATTTCAAATTGCTCTTTTAATGGCTTTAATTCACAAGTTCATGTATATATGCAATTCCCTAAACATTTTTTGACCAAAAAATGATGATCCCTTGGGTATCAGGATACTTAAATTTTTCCATCACATTGTAATAATAAACAAAGACTTGAGTTTTATTTTTCTGATATTACCAAATAGCAGACTTCCCGAAATACGTTGGTCCGACGGACATGTCCGATAAATTTTGATCAGGTCTGACGATTTTTTATTCCGGATCGGTCCGAATGTCCTGCTTTTATCCAAGCCGCATGAATACAAAATGGCGTCGCTAAAGCTGCCAAAGCTGGGAAAAACGAAAATCTACGTCAGAGGAGCGCGCAGAACAGCAATAAAAGGATGAAAAGAATAGACCTGAGACAAAATTTAATGAAAAATGGAAGCAGGACCATGAATCGTTGGTGTATAACAGGGAGGAGATGAAAATGCACTGTATGGAATGTGCCGATTTTTACGGCGAAAAAATTAAAAACAAAAAGTGTCTTAGAAATAGATCTACAAACACAAGTTTTTCTTTGATTTTGATCAATTTTATTTGGTCTGACAGATTTCGTTTCGGTCCGACAGATTTTCATGGTTTGTCAGACCGCATGTCTGACAGTTTTTTTTAACTTTCGGGAAGTCTGAAATAGTATCTTTAACTTCAAGACATATGGCAAAATTTAAAATTTAAGTCAAACAAGAGGGCCATGATGGCCCTGAGGTCGCTCACCTGTATATAGGCCCCCGAAGCGGGGCCAGTTTAAACCCCAGGGCTTTTATTTGAACAAACTTGGAATTAAGACACCCATTAGAAGATGTTTCATGATGTTAAGTTTTTGCTATACACATATAAGGAAACACAATGACCTTCTCCCCCCCTCCCCCCGGCAGAGTTAATTTTAACCCAAGGGCTTTTATTTGAACAAACTTAGTTGACACCCATAAGAAGATGTTTCTTGCTAAACATCTAAGCTCTAGCTCATTGGGTTTTTTAAAACAAGATTTTTTAAGTTTTTACTATACACATATAGTTAAAAACAATGACACCCCTGGGGCGGGGCCAATTTTGACCCCGGGGCTTTTATTTGAACAAACTTTGTAGACACTTATTAGAAGATGTTTCATGCTTAATATCTAAACTCTAGCTATTTGGGTTTTTTCAAAGAAGATTTTTTAAGTTTTTGCTATACACATATAGGGCCATCCTTAAAAAAATGTTTGTTTGCAGTAACGCGACCGACTCACAAAATTTGCCCCTACTCAAATTTTTTTTTCATGGTCTGGATAAAAAAAATTATTTTGGAATCAGAAAATTATACCTTGTACTTTGTTTTTCATTCTTTTAAAGGTTAATAGAAGAAATAAAATGTAATGTTATTAAATTAGAATTCAGTCATCAATTTATTAATTGTTGCCAGATTATCAAAGCATATATTGTCCAGCATTTTGAAATTCCATGTTTTTTTAGGAGTACAGTTCAATAAAAAAAAAAAAAAAAAAAAAAATCGACCTACCTACCCACCTTGAAAATTCTGGGTCGGGTTACTGCAAACAAACATTTTTTTAAGGATGGCCTAAGGAAATCAATGACCCCCGGGGCGGGGTCAATTTTGACCCCAGGGCTTTAATTTGAACAAACTTTGTAGACACTCACTAGAAGATGTTTCATGCTTAATATCTAAACTCTAGCTATTTGGGATTTTTTCAAAGAAGGTTTTTTAAGTTTTTGCTATACACATATAAGGAAAATCAATACCTTTTAATAAAATTATTGAACTGTCACATCCGAAAAGTCATGATTAAATTCTCTCATTTAATTAAATTCCTTGTACAGCCGATATACAAATGGCCGCCATACAGTGCGCGAAATCTGATTGGCTAATTCAAATGCAAGCGTTTAAATGAGTCCAGAAGTTTCTAATGGAATATTTTTTCAACGAAATAATTTCCCATGCACCGTCAGTGTGTTCGAATATATTTTTCCGTTCAAAAAATTGGAATCAATCTGTAAAACGCCTTACTTAACCAGTATGGCCGATGAGCAAAATAGACTGATATTTATATTTTATTTTTAATTAATAAGTAGATCTACATTGTTTGAAAGTTTTTGTTAATGATAGACCATGCAATTGAAAGAACAGAATATAAGCTTTTGAATAAAGCTTGAAAGGCAAGTCAACAGACATTTTTTTAATTTTTCAAAATGCTACGCGTTTATGAGCAATAACTATTAGACGTCAGGCTTGACCAACATAAAACTATACAGTGATTTTCCTACTTATATAACAGACTCCGAAAAAAGGCCTCTTCCCAATTGAAATTTTCTTTAAAATCATGCAGTTTTCCCAAAAATCTGAACTTAAACCAGCTTTTTTACTTCCCAAATCAACAATTTTAGCGATGATTTTTCCCAAAATCAAGAGGCAAAGGCCACTTCCCAATGAAGTGAGAAAAATCACTGCTATAACAAGCCTGTAACGTCTAATCTATTGGACTAGGCCAAGTGGTTAACGCTAGTAATCTACATGTAAGAATTGCTGGCTGCATGGGTTCAAACTAAGTTTAAGTCCTTGGACAATCTCACTCATATAAGTCATAATTCGCTTAGAATTGGTTGGTCAAGGAACAGATTTAAGTGTGCCAAATTATTTTTCAGCTTCCTAGATGACCTAAAATAACTTCTCTACAACTTACATGGCAGTCGCACGGGTTTGTGTTTCTTGCCACTTGTTCCTCTCTGTACTGATTGATCCAAGTCCATCTTCTGTAGAGATGAAAATTATATACAATCAAAAATTATGTATTCTAAAATGAAGTTAGTCTGAACAGATGTCAGTCGCAACTAATTTTAACAGAAAGTTAGGTAACATAAAAAAGTTATAAACTTACATACGCAGCGTGATAAGCACTGACATTTACATTAGACTAAATTAATCGAGAACTATTTATCATATCCAATAGTTTGCAAGGGCCCAAACAACAATTATAACCAAATATTTACACGTTACCTTTTCCTTTTGTTTACAAAAAAGCGCGCGTTTTCCGATGTTGACGGTGTTGCATTAAAATTTCTACATGTGATAATGGGTATGACTAGACACCGGAAAGGGCCTCTTTCCGCGGAAAGGACTTGACATGACCGGAAAGGGTCGATTTTATTCTCATTAATGGCATTTTGCAAAACATTTCAATAAATATAATTACAATTTATTGAAACAAATACATATATGAATAAATTGATATCTTTTTTTTTAAAAAAATCGGTATGATTTTGAGAAAAAAATCAATCAGCCCTAAAACCGCAATGACCGGAAAGGACTTTACATGATCGGAAAGGGCTGCATACCTTCGTTGTACATAATGCATTTTTTAAAGATTTCAATAAACATAATTACAAATAAATATAGAAAATAAACATATATCTTACATTAAAAATGGTTTAGATTTCATACGAAATTCGGCCAGTCCTAATTAACTGATCGGAAATGACTTAATAAGAGTGATAGGAAAGGGCCGACTATTTTTTTTATATTGGGAATATTTGAAATATTTCATAGAATGTTATTAACATCATTCATAATAACTTATTGTTTATGTATATTTAGGATATAGATAGACATCGAAAATAATCCAGTTTTGCGATAAGTAAGATCGATGCCACGAAAATAAGATAAATTTTTAAAACAGTGCAATTATCTGTTTAAATGTTTTTGTTAATTATGTATATATATGCTTTCTTTGAATGATTTTACAGCAAACTAAATTTTCAGACAAAAATAAATTGAAAAAGTGAATATGATAAACAAGATCATCAAGGAAAGGCGGCATACAAAGATTTCCGAGTAATATTTATCTGTGGTTAAACCAAAATAAATGCGGGTCTACGAAGATAAGATATATATTTTATATAATGCTTTTTTAATGGTTATGTTAATTATGAATTAAGTTTTCTTTGATTGACAAAACAGCAAATAAGATGTGCAGAAATAGAAAGATATTTAAAAAAAGATGTTTGTGTCGAAAATACATCATACGAAAATAAATGTTATCGTAAGTAAAGCGAAAATAAGATGTTTGTAGTTTTAAAAATGTAATTTGAAATATAAGGTTTGCATTAATATGTTATTTTTGTTATTGTTAAACAATAATGTTTATTTCAAAGAACGTTCAGTTACAGATGCTAAAAATTCATCTGCATCCAGGCAACACCACGAGGATGAACTCTTCCCATGGCCTAAATTTTTTTTATTTATTGAGAGATTTGAAATTTATTTCTAAAATTGTTTAAAATATATTCAAAAGTATTAATGATAGTTCTAGCTATTTTATAAAAAATATATTTACCTTCCAACTACTATTATACCATTTCTTAATGTTTTTTCTTTTCGGAATAAACAAGAGCTTTAAAGCAAATATTATGAAATAATAACATAAAAATATATGATTCACAAGAAAAAAAATACATTTGGCGTCCTTGATCTTTCAGCCCTTTTCTCTTCCTTAACTTATGATTTGGTGACTGTGGTTAATCGCCAATAAATACCCTTTAATGATTGACATTAATAAATATGTGTCAATTACGATAAGTCCGATAATCCAATTATCGTATTAGCGCATTGATTACTGTCGATAATCATGTATACGTGCCATACATTATATTATTTTTCCTTCTCTCAAATAGAAAGACTATCTACTAGTAGTTAAAGCAATAAAGTTATAAATTTATAAACTCGTTTGTTAATTTCTTTTTCAAAATATAAATATTAACTATTTCATATTAGTCCTTTTTCATTTATCATATATTTTCGTATAAATCATTTTCATATGGACCTTATTTTTGTATTGTTCTTATATTATACGGACATTACTTTCATATAGATATCTAATTTGCATACAAATGTTATTTTCGTATAAATCTTATTCTAATGCAGACATTATTTTCATAAGGATCTTATTTCGATTAGATAATAGTTTCATACAGATCTTATTTTCGAACACTTACATTATTTTCTTACAGTTCTTATTTTCGTGTAGATATCATTGGATGTTATTTTCGTACATATAGTTTTTCACACAGATATTATTTTAATACAGCTCACATTTGCTTACAGATCTTATTTTCGTTTGATTATACTTCCATTTGGATCTTATTTTCGTGCATAGAGGTTACTGGATATATAATTTTATACTGGAATTATTTTCTTAGAGATCTTATTTTCGTATATATTTGATTTTCGTACGGAAATATTGTGGTAATTCATGTATTGAATTTAACCGTGTCAAGCACCTTTAAATAATCGATACTGTGCAATTGCAACTGCAAATTGGTGTATCGTCAACAACTGATTTCTTTAAAGCAGCATGCCTCCAGATTCATGCTGATTTTCATGAAAAATTTGAAAGTTGATTATAAAATATTAACTTGTGAAGTAGCCAAAAGTAAGCAATTTGCACATAATCAATGATACTTACATTTCATGTTAACTACCAAATAGAGGTGAAAATATACGAAAAATGCCCATTACTGCGTTAGCAACGCAATAGAAACATGAATATAATTACTGAAAAAGCTGCCATTAATCGCACATATTTTGACATTTATTACTTGAAGCTTATTTTTCTTTTACTTTTTAAAATCATTTTTTTTCTCATTCTTGATTTTATTAAAATATTTTGGCTTATCTGGAGGCATGCAATGAATTTTTCGTTTTTCGTGAAATATGGAATATATTTGCACTTAACATGATAATATTCTATATATTTAACTCGCCATACCGGCTCGTGAAAAAATAAGGAGTTTTATCATATTTCGTGAAAATATATTCCATATTTCACTCATATATCACACCCGGTACCGTTGAAAACCTATAGTCGCCTTTATGCACTTTTAGACGGTGTCCTAGAACGTTCTGCGCGTTTTCTCTTCCTCTGGCTAGGTTTATAAAACTGCTCCGCCATAGTCACTGCATAGCTTGAGCTTCACTTGTTAGAATCGGGGGTGTGTGCACGCGCACGTCAATAATGATCAGGGTGATATACCAATTAAATCTATCTTATCTTGTTATGTTAACAAGCGCGTTAATCTTATCATTGAAAATATCTAAGGTCATAATCAGATAATTACACATCTGTATTGATGCCAATTAATTTTGTTAGTTAGGTCGCAGTAGTGTTATTGAAGAAAAAAAAATAATTTAGGGGGAAATCCAAGTTAATACAATAATACACATTTTATCTGTAAGGCAAGTGAAAAAAAATATATAGATACACTGATGGTGTCTAAATCTTGAAGTAAAAATCAAGCTGTATTCATAAATTATAAATGTTTTTGTTTCATACATGTATATTAATTGCAATGATTTCAAATCCAAATATATGTAATATGGGAATTAATTTAACAATCCCAAATCTACTTAACCCTCAGGGGCTCAAATGGTAATATACATGTATTTATATAAATTGCACCAAACCACCCGTATTACATCTAACGACACAAATGTGTAGATGATCAATAAATGTTACCCTCACATGTAAGAAATTTATTCATTTGATCAAATCTAGTCATTTCTTCATACGTTTAATATTCTTTATAGAAACCCTAAATAAAAACATAATTTATACATAATAAAGTCCTTTCCGATCAGACAGGGGAATGGAATATGGAATATGGAACAATATCTTCATTGATATGAAAGCAATAGTTCCTTTCCGATCATGCCAACTCCTTTCCGAGCAACGCAGTGATGACTGGCTTATTGTGCTAAATAACTTAACAAATATAAGACAAAAATATAAATATATTTGTTTATTTCTTTGACATATTTTAATTTTGATAATATTTTCTGAAATATTTCTCATAGATCTAGATCTATTTCATATGTAAGAAAAATCAATCCTAATTAAGCTCTTTCCGATCAGTGCGTTTCGAGGACTGATAGATTATCTTTTAAAATCTTAAAAAGTATGGGGGAATAATATCAGTTAAATTCCACAGGTGTTTGTTTTAACTAATTGTCTTTATATTTAGTGAAATCTTTTTTAAAAAAATGCCATCAATAAGCATATAATCGGCCCTTTCCGGTCATGTCAAGTCCTTTTCGCGGAAAGGGGCCCTTTCCGATATCTAGTCATACCGTGTGATAATTGATGCATTTTTTTACCCGAAAAGATCTGTTAAATGCGATATTGATTAAGGCAATGTTGTAGGAACGATGAAGTGATACATATACATAAACAATATATTTGTTATTTGTGTATAAAATCGTTCTTTTGTTTGTAAGATAGTGTTGCACATGTCATGCAAGCCTTATCTGTGACTTAATTGGGAGACAGGCCTAACGATTTTTTAATGTTCAGCGCTGTTATGCATCTATAGTTAACATGCACTTAACATTATTAAACAAGGCATATGTAACAGGGTCTTACTGTGCCTTTAAGAAATTTAAAGTATAACTTTATACAAGACGTAAGTTCGTGCTGCAGATTATACTACGAGAATAAGTGTATAACGCTTCATTTGGTCAAACGATGATTCATACGGTGGGAAGGGCCAACTCCCGACCCTTTTGCTTTTTATGAATAACTATAACATCCATGTAATAACTTTAAATTTATTCGATCGTTACTGTTTTGTCGTTCGTTGGCATGTGACACTGTATCTGTATTTGTATAAAATGAAAAAGCAATAAAATATGATTAAACTAATTAAACTACGGTGATAAAGTATCTAAATGAATATGTACAACGCACACACAATTATATACAGCATAGTTAATAAATACTAATTTCTAATCCGCGTTTATTTGAAACATAAATTATGTTATGGTAATTAGTTTAATAGCATTTTCTGTTCTTTGAATACAATTTAAGAACATTATTTTATACATAACAACAATTTTAACAAATTAAGGACCAATTAAGTAGCTGAACAACACTAGAATGACTCGGGTAGGCCTAAAATAAGATTCATGCGTGTTGCTTCGGTGCATCAATCACTAATTCGGCGTAAGTCGTAAAAATGGCACCGGCCACATTTTATTTGCTAATTTAATTGTATTGTGACACGCGTAGTTTGGCAAATGTCTCAGGTACATCGATTATCTAAATGAGTCAAAAACCATAATGTAATATCATAATGTAATATCGAAGAGTTCTGATGTAATAATACGTAATTCTATTTAAAGATATCGACAAAACACTAAAGTCGCCGTCACTATGCTAATCATGTCGTCATTCTCACAAATGATCTTGAAAAATAAACATTTTTATGAAAACAAGTTTGATGAGGTTTAAGATATAATGTCTTAGAAGCTATACACAATGCAATTGATTCATTTCTTTCAATTTGGTGTACAATAAAAATATTGGTGAGCTGCTCAATTGCACAATTCCATGTTCATGTTACCTTTGCACAATTCCTGCTAATTTGCATATCCGACACGATGTATGGATGATTTTACAACTCATAACTTAAAACTTATAAGTTAATTATATGTGTATTTGTATTTATAACTTTTTAGACCTCACTAATTTAGACATTTCTTAGTCTGATAAATTTTCTCTCCCCCCTCCCCCCGACATAATAATTATTTAATCTATATAATATACATTTGGATATAATATGGATTCATCCAACTAGATATGGTTCAGTTATAGAGAGGAAGATTTTCTAAATTGATAATTTTAAATTTTGCTTTCTTATGGTTAAAATTCGTACGTTTGATACGTTTTTGTTTTAAAAGTAATGATTAAGGGATATAATTAACTAACTGCTGAATATGTAATATTATAATTATATACATTCGTGCTGTGTTAATCTCTATCGGGCGACTAACGTCATTAATTGTTTTTATCAAAACGTGGTTGTTTGCCTCTGTCTTAATCATTATTATCATCATCGTCACCGTCGTCATCATCATCATCAATGTTTTTCCTAATGTTTTCTACTGTACTAGAGTCATGATGTTACTAAATTTTCTACTGTACTAGAGTCATGTTGATACTAAATTAAATTTACCTATCATTACTATTATTCTTTGTTGTAAACACGTTCATGGTGATTCTATTTACTTTGTTCATGCATTTTTACATGTTTGACTTAGCAAGTCAAAATCTGCGACAAAGGTTTTTCAGCAAAACATTTAAAGAAAGCAAAAAAGGAAGAAACTGTATGAGATTATGAGAAATGAAATCACGAAATATGAATTCATCAGGAAGACACAGAGCGTCATATTAAAGTCGTGATGAACAATACTTCATATAAATAAACATGTGGTTTTATTAATTAAAACAGGAAACTAAATAAGTTTAAATAAACATCACTGCTTATTGGTTAATTAAATAATACTGATAAATTAATCTGCCCATAAAAGCTCAGTCGACCACAGATGTTGTGTATTATAATTGCCTCATACATCCCTAATAATTTATACATATAATATATTATAAACTAATGAAGTTAATCGAACGTAAAATAGTTAGTGACGTTACGTTTACATGCCGATAGGGTTCTATTGACACGTCCGCATGATTGATAGGAACAAGTGCACACATATTCGGTGACCGTAACACTGTCGTAAGTCCTTCTGTACGTTTACGGACATACGATAGTTTGGCGTTGAAACGTCAATATGTCATTATCACGAACAATACCATGTTAACCAGACTGGGGACATTTCTTACATCAAACATGAGTAGGTGTTTATAAACATAAAACGATTAATAGTGGAGCTAAAACAATGTTTCGGACATAATTAAATAGTTTTGAAATAAGACTATTCTTATAATTGGATAAGTGGGCTCGGCATAGAAGAGCCAAGTTATAACAGCATAATAAATAAAAGAAGGTAAAATATTTCTCATTTTATCTTTGTTTATCTTGATATATAAGAATTTAAAAATAAAAAAGGATATTTTTATACAAATTATATACGGCATGAGTGTGTCTCCTTATATAGTTGCATTTTCAGTATTTTTACTGGGAATAAAACCATATTAATATTACTCGTATTTTTATTACTTTTTTTATATATATTTACAGTGTATATTAATTGTCATGTTGCGTTGTACTGTCACGATTGGTTACGTAACGGCGATAGGTTTACCTGACAGGGACAGCAAACTCATAAATTCATACTTATTAGTGTCCGTGTGTGCAAGTCCTATTGGTGTAAAAAGTTTCTGAAATGTTCTGAATCACATACAAAATGAGTATGTTCATTTTATACTTTCATACTTTTCTCATATATTCTGATTCTTTCGGCGCAGCAAGTTAGATGTACAGAATATATATATTTTGATTTTGATTTTTAATTAAAAACATGTATATGATAACTTCAATATAGTATACTATAATTTTTCACTTGGACTCGTAAAATATCTTTTTTTCTGATTTTTTTTATATTATATGGTCAATTAAGAATGAAACAAAGGATTGGAACTGAAAAGGGCGGTCTTATATAAAAGCGCATAAGCGGGGGATGGGCGGTTCTTACTTGAGGATCATGTTCCCATTGAAATAACGTATAGAAAATTCTTTTATTTTAAAACTTGGTCATTCTGGCCAAATGGTCCACTGTTTCATTAAAGAGGGCTTCTACATTTACTAAAATTATGTCTTAGGATCAATTTAAAAAGAAAATAAATTAGAAGAAACAAGTAATACGATCTATATAGTTGAGTTTTTTTTGTAATTGAATATGTTTTAAAACAACAACAACAACAACAACAATAACAACAACTTATCACATTTCATGAAGATCGCAAGATTTTGCTTCAGACGGAGAAACTTTGATCGACAAAACTATAAACATCATGCTTCTTAAGTAATCTAACTCGCGATCTTTTCCCTCTGGTCCTCCCTCGATCTTTGCCGATAGCCAATCAAATCACTGTGAGGAGTTTGCCCGCACATTTCATTCAAAACTTAATCTTGCTATAGAAAATGAGAATGACATGAAAGGCATATTTTGAAGCTAGATAAGTTTGCTTTTATATAGAATTTTTGGTTTATACATTTTATTTGGACCTACTGCATGAACAGTGCTCAATCTTCTATACCTACTCTACGACTTTATTGCTAATCTAGTTATTACATGAAATGACGGGACTTTTCGTTTAAAGGTTAATTGCTGTAATACCACAAATATTATTGTAATGTTGTAGCGGAACTACATAGGGAATGCTTGTTAGCCAAAGAGTATATAAAATGTTTACAGTTGTTTAATTGTGTTTACATACTTAAATCACAAAATGTTTTTATGTTATAGTCCTTTTGAGGACAGAATAATGTCTGTTCATGGATGTGTATATTGTAAAGATGTATTAATTAATTAATTAATTAATTAATTAATTGCTGTTGAGAGAAATTGATCATATATCCACGTTGGCCGGTTAGGTCACCGACCGCCGAGACATAATCGAAAATGTATTAAAATCGGCATAAAACCCGCAACAAGAGAACAAACAAAAACACAAACAATTAAATAGGCCTATGTCATATTTCACAAGTGTTTTATAAGTCGCGTGCCGAATAGCGCCCGATGGTGGAGTGGAACAGAAGTACACAAGGTGACGATCTTGGTCAAGAATCTTGAGATCTTTCTTAATATATCGGGACGAAATGACATGTATGGTAACTGCACAATGGATCTCGAACTTTTTTATAATTCATTTGTACTAGTACATGTGTAAGTGGTCAAAATTAATGCAGAAAATTGTTGGTTCTTTTTGTATATGGAGAACAAATTGCGACCGGGGCACTTATGCACTTATTTGGTATATGAAAATTATAATTATTATAATAACTTTGACAATTGGTTGCTACTGTAGTTTGAAATAGAAATTTAGGTTATTTTCAGAGGTTTTTTTTAAAACACTTCGCCAATCACGAGCAACGTATACATCAAATAGTTTGTTTAGTAGAACCCGGGACTTTCCATATGTATTGTAGATCTAAAACAATATGCAAACAGTAAAATCAAAACGTGATTTCAAGGTTAAATGATCAGTGATTTATACTGTAAAACAAAACGTGATTGAAAGCACATGCATGTCTGATTAATTTCTTATCGTAATTACGTTAAAAAGTAAGTCATGAACTATAGTTACGCCATTAACTACAGCTGACTCACATTTTACTTAGAAACTACTTGGCAATTTGAATTTTATGCCTTAAATTTTCGTCAAAGCAGTGCCTTAAATGCTTACAAATAATGGTAGAAATTAAGATGCTCATTAAATAAGTTGACAAAAGAAGATGTTTACTACTTTTAAAAAGTGACATAGTATCATTTATTTATAACTTAATTAATTAGAGGTTTAAAACTGATTGCATGTATACACATGTGTAATTTCAAGAGGCAAATGAGTCGAATGAGACCTTAACAAATTGACAAACATGCATAGTTGTGATACAAAAAAAAAATTTCCTCGCTTTTGCATTTTTTTGTACATTTATTGTCACGAAATTGATGTCATTAACAGTCTTTACAAAACTATTTATATATCCATTAGATAAATCATGGTTAAATTTTTTTCAATTACAGTCAATACTACATATTCATGTACATGTACTTCATGTACGTTTCACAGGCATATCTGGTTGGTCATGTAAAAGGTCATTTAAAAGTCTAGGTCATATCTACATCATTTAACATGTCCGTCCGGTCACAAGTGTTGTTTTGTCTACTTATGATTTTAAAATCCGTACTTCAATAACAAAATTATGACAACTTGACCAAAATTCAATAATTTGACATTGACGGTCAAGGGCATTAAAGCCTCAAGGTCAAGATCAGTTCAATATTGTAGAGGAACTTTGCAAAAGGATTATTTTGTTCAAATATGAAGATAATTCATTAATTACTTACAAAGTTACAGCAAATTAAAGCAATAATCAGTGAAAAATTATAAATTCAATAGTTTGACCATCAAGGTCAAGCTCGTCCATAAGTCAAGGTCAATTTGAGTTTGATATTCATTGAGGGCTTTTTCTAAAGGATATTGTGTCTAAATATGAAGGTAATCCGTTTGTAAATAACTTAAAAGTTATAGCCATTTATAGAAAAAAAAAACAGAAAATTTCATTGATTTGACCTTATTAAAGATCGAAGTCACATCTAAATTATTCAATAGCAAGTCCTTTTTTCCAAAGTATAAATCAAATCTGTACAGACATAACAAGATTATGACAATTTAGGCATCATTAGGCCTTGACGGCCAAGGTCATGTAAAGCTCAAGGTCAATTTGGACAAAATTCAGACATTTGACATTGAAGGTCAATGTCAAGATCAATGTCATTATGTATGAAGGTCAATGTTAGTCAGGTGTACTTAAAGTTTTTTTGAGGCAAAGTCTGATGACAATTGATGCAACAAGAAATGAAAAAAGTTATGATCAATGTTAAAGTTTGCGGACGGCAACGGCAAAGGTAAGGTTACGTCGACATGATTATAATGTTAATAACTTTCTCTATTTTTCTTTGAAAAATAAAAGCCGAGCTAAAAATGAATTATAGATACTGGACAAGGTCAGTTCTGCGTACCTGGAGTGAGGGAGGCTCTAAGAATACGTGAACAAGAGCATGGTTCCGGTTTTTGACGGACTTTTTCGATGCCAACCACAAAAACACGGCGCCGCAAGTTTCACCGATTACTTCAAGCTTTGCAACTCAAAGTATTAACCGCTGTGTGGAGTTTGCTACATATTTTATAGTTGAATCTTAGTTTAACCTGGGAATGCCTGTGAATTTTTTATGCTAAGTTTGTTAATAGCTCAAAAAAGAATACGATATTTTTACTTTTACACATAATTTGTCATTTCGTTTCGATTGATTGAAATAGATAGCAACACTTTGTGTGTTTAAAAAGATTGATAACTGTCATTACATATAACGGCAAGCCATTTAGAAAAAAGTAGGAAAAACCAACATGACTAATGTTACATAGCTCTATCTCTACGTGACTAAGTGTGTAACATAGCTCCATCTATCTTAATGTGAAAATAAGATTAATGTTGGAGGGTAAAATTTGCACCCGCTTAGATACTCAATCACCGTATTTTTAAATGATGCCACTGTCACACCTATATATATATAGTGTACACGTATACTATTTTTATGGATCTTCAGTAACACTAGTACTTATCTGTTGAGTTAACATGTGACATTGTCTTATGTTTTTCTTTTTTGTTCTTCTCACTTATTTTCTATCCTACTTTTTTTGTCGGTTTGTTTGTTGCTATCTTTTATACATTTATTTTCTTCAATTTATTATACAATGTATAGTGGGCGTCTATGGCTTAGTGTTGCCCCTTGCTACTTTTGGTTCGGTTTCCTTCAGGGACTTTGGTTTTGTTTTCATGTGAGAAAGCTCTAGCACCAGCTTACTTACCGAATCGTTGGTTGTTCTAACTCACGTGCCAGTTGGTGTTCGGAAGGCACCCAGGGTCACCCTCCAACAGTAAAGCTGGAAAAGTCGCCATATGACATTTATTGTGTTGGTGTGACATTGAACCTAGCCAAACAAAAATCAAAACAAAAAAAAGTTTCAGATTAGCACATTTAATTATTATCATTATTTCGTCATATCACGTGCTTAACGTGTTACTTGTAGTTAAAGTCTTTCAACAAGTTATCATATTGCTGTGAAATCTTTTACGTTTGTATATGATAAAACATTTCAATACATGTAGTCTACATTAGTACTTATTTGATGCTAAAATTTTATTTATTGTCACTTTTAATTATTTTTTTTATCAAAAGACTGATGGGAAATATAATGCGCATGACAAATATCTTGTTATGTTTCAGATGAAGGGCCTTTTGTTTCTGGTATTTTGTTTGTCGTCTGCATCCGCAAGAATCACAGAAATTCCATTACCATCTGATGTACACTTGTGCTTCGAGCGTGAACTTACAAACTCTAACGTTACCAATGTAATTGGAGAAGTGATATTTTCGAGATGTGTACATAAAATGTTGTGGATTAAACAAACGCCATGGTTACAGAAGCAGCCGATAGGAAGGGACGCTGAAAACTGGATTACTGGTCTTGTTGATATGAGCCATATTATGGATTTTCCTTCCGGAAATAGCCACTTTGATCCACACAAGGATTTTCCTTCCGGAAATCGTCACCTTGATCCACACAAAGTACGTCCACGACGACAAGCAGGAAGAACAGACCAATCACGCAGTTTCCAAACAGAACGAGGCCAGACCGGAAGACGCCAACAAACATTGCGTCGTCAACCACGTGTCCGGAAAGAATATCGTATGCTAACGGAAAGGGAGCGATTTATGTTTCATAGGGCAATAAACATGCTTAAAGCAGATACAGTGAGTAATAAAAGTCGTGCAAACGAGTTTTTTAAGAGGTCATTACAGAGGGCCGCTTTGCAGAGGTTGTACTGTATATTTTTACATTTAATAGATTGAGATACGTCTTTTTATGTGAAGAGTCAGGGCATTAACAAAATCCTCCATTAACTAAATTGTATCATAATTTGGGGACCTTTCTGTTGAAAAGTGACAGTATTAGCTACCCGCACTCCAGAGAAAGCCCATTGATTTGCTATTTTTCTGGGATTTACTTATTGTGGCAGCAAATAAGGGAAAGCGACAACAATATCATATTCAGATGCTCGTTTATTGGTTAATTTTTCATGGGTTTCATATTGTGGCAACAGGGAAAGTGTTTTTTTTATGTTTTTCTATAAAACAAACAAAAAAGCGCACCAAAACATTCGGCAATCTGATTAATACTCGGGGGCTACGCCCCCTCGAACAAATCAGATAGCCTCGTGTTTTTCGATGCTCTTTCTATTAAATAATGAAACTTTTTTTATTTATTCAATACTTTTTACTTCTCAATTAAAAGTACTATATTCTACGTTACTAATATAGTTATCATTGCAGATTTGACTTTCATATACACAAAGAAATCTATTTACTTCAGTCAGTGGCGCCTAATAAATATGACGCTTTGGCAAGACTACATTACATGTCTGTGGGCAGGGCTCATTTTGGACCAAATTTTTTACCGTGGCATAGACTCTTTCTTGTCGTGTAAGTAAAACAACATTTTGATTTTATAACTCGTTAACAATAATGTAAGACAATTATTTCATTGAAAAATATATGTACAACGTATTTCTGTCCATTGTTTTTCATATTGGATTAAAGATTTGGAATAAATCAATATTTGGCGTTGGCATTTAAATTTGCTCCAATTATATCTTAACCTTTTAATTCGCCATTCAAGTTTCATATATTTATCATACCAAATAAGAAAATTATTAGTAGGGGCGTCCGTGGACAGATGACTTTAAACCACTTGTATCTCGAGGTTTATTTAGTTTGAAATAACAATTCAAGTGTCCTCCCAATGTTGTTGGACCTCTGTGCGTCCAGCTTTTTCATACATATTTAAAGGTTTGAATTAGACGTTTAAATTACGTTAAATAATTGTTTTGCTCTTCTGCATTATAAAGTACATGCTCATGAGAAACAGCAGATACAATTTGATATACATGTATACGTTATTATTGAAAAATATATATATATATTGATTACTGTATACATGTAGTTATATTAACTGAAAACTACCGCTTATTTTATATCAACAGGATGGAAAATGCCCTACGAGAAAAAATACCGTCTGTAACTATACCTTATTGGGACAGCACCCTGGATGATCCCCTCCTAGATCCGAGGTCGTCGATTATTTGGACACCAGAATTCCTCGGGCGGGCAAACGGTTACGTTGTTGATGGACCATTTGCTGATTGGAACACTCCGACGGGACAGTTGGTACGCTATTTTGGCAGCGGCGGAACTATGATGAACTGGACTTATATTTATAACGTTTTCAGACAGAACCATTTAGAAAATATAACTGATCCGTATGCTAAACCTGACAATAATATAGAGGATCATCATAATCAGATTCACACCTGGGTCGGTGGCCATATGGCACCGCCCGCACTAGCCGCTTTCGATCCGGTATTTTATCTATTGCATTCATTCATTGACTTACTGTGGGAAATATTTCGGGGACTTCAAGAGCAACGAGGTATAGACCCAACGACGGATTTCCCGAGGAATATAACGGAAATTCCCGATGGGCAACGATACGATGACCCGTCTGGATTCGGGACTTTGTTAAACAGGCATGGATTAAGCAATGTCTTTACCGATAACATTTACAAATACGATCGCCCACCGTCATGTTCGCTCCAAAATCCGGATTGTGGATCTCTTAATTTACGTTGTGATACTACCGGTATCCGACCTAAATGCGTTTCAAAGTCAATTTTTGATATACGGACATTGCTGTTACCTAGTGGATTGCCAATGGAAGGTGGGTCGGGCATTAGGGAATTGAGAAGTGCCAATTCAAAAGAGGAGAGGAAACAAGCAAAACTGTTTGAAATGATAGAAACCGTATCAAATGTACGATGTCAGTCTAACAATGTAAATGAGAGATATGTGAATAATTTCGGCATAGATGGAGTGGTGGATAAACAAATGTGGGCTTATATACCAGTTCAAGTTATTTACAGAAATCAAAAGCTGAGTAGACAATCACCTTACTCTGATACCGTTTATGATATTTGTAAAAGAAATATATCAAATGATCTACCATCTAGAATATTTGTTGAATCAAATGGTCTTAATTATAACGGAATGTACAAAGAAATTTCACATTTCAAAAATGATCTGGCAACTGCCTCAGAGATAACTTACCTGGGAGTTAAGAAACCGTCACGTGATATGTTCAGTGACGTGCTGGTTACCGCTTACGATGAATGCGGCCGAATGTGCCAACCATTTTGCCAAGATGATAGGGGAACCAGAAACCGGAAGTGTAATGGAGCTGTACGAATTTCAAAATTGGCGCCACTTTTGTACGGAAATGACATGAAATTAGCGGAAACCTCGGTGTGGAAGGAGAACGAATACGGACTTCCAAATATTGTTGAAAATGAAATTTACATTACTATGCTTTGTGACACATCTAAGTCATTCTGGCCGTGGTAGACTTTTTAAAGTCGTCGACTTTCCAAAAATATTTATTTCTTTTAGATTTATATAATTAAAACATTGTTATATACTTGTTACATTTTATATATTAAATCAAGAGGCCATTTAAGTAAAAAGCTATTTTTTCTACAATTTTAATTAGAAATAAATCTAGTTTTCTTGTTATATACTGGTTTTACTATTATAATAGTTTCACTTCGTTAACGATCCACCAATGTTTAATTGAAAGAAAAATGAAGGACATAACAGAACACATATAATTACATATAATACACAGTAATTTAGGGAAAGCTCTGTTATTTTATCAACTTACAAACAACAAACTGAGAACAGGAAGACGATCACATATCAATAACATTTATTGTTCGAAATTTCATAGCTGCACATCAAAGGACAAGAAAGTATGACACATCATCAAAATCTTTGTCAACTGATACCAATTTAAAGTTCAATTTTACATCTTACAAATTTCATAGCTGTACATGAAAATACAAGCCATCATCAAATTATCTAGGTCATCTGATATCAAATTTCAAAAGTAGGTTGATCACTTTGCCAAAATCTAGGGCAGCTGATATCAAAGTTCAATTTTACATCATGGTCCAAATGTCGATCATACATGTAGCTTCAGGAAAAAATAAGCCAATGTCAATTTAAGGTCAATGTTACATCTAAATTCTTCAATATGTTCTTTGGCCACAAGTCTTGTTGAATCAGTACATAAATAACAAAATTATGACATTTCAACCAAATATCAATAATTTGACCTTGACAGTCAATATCATATAAAGCTCAATGTCACGGTCAGTACAAACTTTTAAAGGCAATGTCTAAAAGGTTGTTTTGTCCAGGTATGTAGATAATCCATTGGTTACTTACCAAGTTAGATCTACAGCCAATTTTAGCCATCATGAGTGAAAAAGCAACAAGAATTTCATTAATTTGACCTTGACAGTCCAGGTCAATTTAAAGGTCAAGGTCACACCTGAATTATTAAATATGTTTGTTTGGTAACAAGTCTTGTTTTGCCAAAGTATAAATTAAAGCTGTACATAAATAACAAAATAATGAAAATTCAACCAAAAATTAATAATTTGACCTTTTCAGTCAAGGTCATTTAAAGTTCAAGGTCAAGGTCAATTAAGTCTTTAGGTTGTTTTGTATGAAGATAATCCATTCTATAATTACTAAGTCTATTATAGCAAAAATCAGTGAAAATTCAACAATTTAATCTTCAAGGTCAAGGTCAATTTGAGTTTGATATACAATGTACATGTGCATGAAGGTCTCATCCTAAAGAATGATGAGTCTTAATATGAAGTCAATCTATTCATTAAAAACAAAGTTATAGAGCCAAAAAAAAATGAAAATTTCAATAATTTGACCTTCAAGGCCAAGGTTATTTAAAAGTGAAGGTCAAGGTCTGTCTGGTTAACTTCAAGGTCTATCCTAAAAGATTGTTGTGTTCATGTTTGAAGACAATCCATCAAAAATAACTAAGTTTTAGCCACTTATAGCAAAAATCAAGCAAAATTTAGACATTTGACCTTGAAGGTCAAGGTTATTTAGGAATGAAGGTCAAGTTTAGTCTGGTCTACTTGAAGGTCTTGTCAAGCAAAAAATCGTTTTAAAAGGGGCATAACTCTACTAATAGTATATTGATTTAATACAGCAAAAATCGAACTTGACATGTGTTTTGATATAACTTTAAAATGCCAAAAATAAACACAATTATTACAATCCTTCAAAAGTTATGCTGCAGAAACCAATCATCTACGGACAGATGGACGGAGAACACAATACCATTATTAATACAACCCAAAGGTCCTCTGGTGTATTAAAGCTTTATACATGCACAGATAAGTGGGATTCTATGTTATTTTGAAATTTTTAGCATGTCCATGTGTTAATGCAATGTATAAAATTATGCGCTCAATTTGTAAGGTTTCGAAATCTCTTTCTTGCCTTTGATTTAACAAAGTTAATGCAGAAATGGTCATGTTCATATTTACCGGTAAGAGTTGTTGTCCAATTTTCTGCTTATAAATTTAAATAACAAAGTTTTGAAGACAAACTTGTATCCATTTTGTTCGCTTGAACAAAGTGTTCAACCACTTCACTTTCAGCCCCTTGCTAATGATACAGTTGACTTATATTTACTGTTCAGTAAAAAGAAAATTCTCTGCAGATTACTTAATAATTTTTTTTTGGTGGGTCTTTTGTAATTAATCTCACAATTAATTGTTGTAGCATTTTGGATTTTATCATTTATCATTATTTCATGCCTTCATTAATTTATATACATTCAAGTCATCTTTGAATAACAACAAATAAAGCAGTTAAATACAAATGACACTATATATATTATGTAGTAGTTACTCTTAAAAATATGTTTTTAAAGGTTACTTATTATTATAATTGAAACATACATTTGAATAGATACATGTTTATATTATTAGTTATAAAGATTTTTACAGGTTATATGGCCCTTTATAAATTGCTGTTTGCATAAAACCTGAGCCGCTAGGTGAGGGTAATATTGCGAACAACCATTTTTATATGGCCATATAACCTGTAAAGAATCTTTTTAGCACATTTATAATACAGCAAACTTCCTTTTTTAAATAAAAACAAAAATTTATATCAGTTATGTATACAAAACTATATAAGTAATGATTATTCAATGAAAAGCGACATTACAAACATGCAGTATTATAAGTACAGATATAAAACTAAAACATAACAATGGACTAAGATGGAATGAAATGAGAATAGTTTCATGACAAAATTTAATAAAATCTAGCACAATAAACAAAAGTCATGTTTGAAATGTTTAAATAATGTAACATTATCATTGTCATGCATGTACATGTGCAAAAAATTATTTTAACAGCATTCATTAATAATTTGTTCAGCTCCTTCACTGCGTACAAGACTGGTATAACCATGTAAAAATGTGCAGCCTGACCTGGACTCGAACCTGGGACCCTCTGAAAACCTTACCGCGGCTCTACCGACTGAGCTATCCGGCCCCTTAACAGTGAACAATTCTGAACTGTGACACATGCCTCACAGAGTGCCTGTATTTACCACCAATTAACCCTTTTCTGCTCAACTTTTTGCAGGAAAAAATTCAGCCATTGCTACAGTCGTGCTGCTAACAAAAATAATGGTGTTATTTCTCCACCCACCCCCCATTTCTTTAGGGTTTGCCTTCATACTTAGATACAACAATCCTTTGGACAAGACCTTCAATTAGAAAGTAAAAACTTTACCTGGATTCATAAATGACCTTGTCCTACATTTTTTAAATGCAATTTTGCTACAACTGGCTTTAACTTTGTTATTCATGAATGGGTTGTCTTCATACTAGGATACAATGTTTTAGACAAGACCGCCAAGAAAACAAAAACTGACCTTGATTCATTAATGACCTTGACCTAGGAGGTCAACAGATTGAATTTTACAATTAATAGCAATAACTTTGTTATTGCTCCGCGCCTGTGGGCGCGGAGCTATTTGTGTTTACTATTTTTTTTGTCCATGGGCCCGGATTTGAGCAATAAATCCTTTCGATTAACAGCTAAAAGTAAATCCGCATTCAAGAACTCCTTTCGATTTCTATATTGGTTTCCCCGTCGGTGATTCGCAGCATGTCATATTAATGAATGAGAACCGGAAAGCAGTTCTGCTGTTACATAAATTCGAAAGCTATAAATAGCCATAAATGTTACTTCGGTTATAAATTTGTTATTTCCCTTTTTAGTAGTACATGAAATTATAATTTGTTACATTTTGAAATACATTTACACACAGCATATCAAGTATACTATTAGTGATTGAATTTATCAATATAAAGAAGATCTCAGGCACAAGATTTTTCCCTGATCATAACTCACACTCTGCTATTGCATGGTTCAAATTCCCTTTCAAACAACCAAAACGTAGAGCTTTTCAAGTCTGTATACCTTTATATTGATTCTACGAAACGATTTATATAATGTCTGACTGCTACTACTATGCTGCTTATATTCTTTTCTTGTCCTTATCTTTATTTGTTTAATGTCCTTTTTGTGTTTTTTTCTTTAGTTGTTTTCTGTAGTTTTTTACTTAATTTTTGTCAAAACTTACTAAAATTTTGTCCTTACCATTAACATTTCATTTTTCTTTTTCAATCTTGCATTATCAAATGTGTTTGTTTTTTTTTGGTAACTTGTTAATTACAACCACCACAGACATTGAAGATTGTTATTGTTAGATAATGGCTTCTATAAGCTTCTGCTTTCGGCCAAAATCTATAATTATTGTTATATGTTGTTATTTACACATGTACAAATATTCTAAATAAAATATGTTTAAACCAAGATTTTAACAATTTTGCTTTTGATAATTATTTTTAATTTATATTTATGAAATTTAATGTTTAATAATAACATGTTGATATTTTGGTTGTTTTGAAATAATTAAACTTTAGTATATAAGGTTACATTTCTTTGTGTCTTTGGAACAGTATACCACTCTGTGAAAAAGAAGAAAGTTAGTGGTATGACTGGGGTCCGTACTCGACAGCGAAAGCTGCATTTTGTACCCTTACGAGCGGATGGACCTTCATTAAGGTTTTTGCTTTCTCAGCCATGTTTGTTTTCACAAAGTCTGTCCAAAGTGAAAGTAAGCCAAAATTCATATAACAACAAAGCTCACATTGTTATATGATGAGCCATTTGCAAGTACACTTCCAATTCTATGTCTTAAAGACTATTTAAACAAAAATAAAAATGATAACAATAAGAAATTTACCTTGAATGGGCTACATTTCTGAAGACCAAAAACATTCTGTTGCAAAGTTTTATGCACATTTCATGAATGGCAAAATCCAGTTTAAAGTCTATTTTAGCGCAAACAAATGCTATTTGTTTTGCAGAAAATACAAAAAACTTTAAAAAACATAAATCTTAGGAAAGTAGTTTATCTGACCTTGAAAAAACATGGCCTCCATGACATGTGTAAAAAAGTAGTACCATGAAAATAAACATCATTTACCTATTTCTTGTGTACATGACAAACAGACACACTTCACTGTTACACATAAAAAGGTTAGATTTTAAAGTTTGATTGTGTTTTCATTTTAATTGTAGTTCATAAGGCTATAAATGA